CTGTTTGCTGCAAATATGCTTTAATAATAGGGTAATTTATTTCTACCACTTAATTTGCCAGCTGATGGCAAAAACAGTTCTGTAAAAGTCATCCAAGCAAAATAAAGAATGGGAACAATTATTCTTCCTGAGTAGATTTTCTAAATTAAGACTCCCAGCAAAAAGGCTGAGATTGCTTGCCTTAGTTAATGCTCTTTTCTTGTTTTCTTTTAATTTGTAGAGTACACGCTGTTTTGCAGTGTCACAGCTGCTAATTTGTGTATTCCTAGTTGGCTTAAATGTCTTGATCTCTCCCCATACACAGGCAGATTTAGATTGACAGGTTTATTGATTGATTAAATGGTTTGTGAAAATAAAAGTTAGGAAAGATCATTGCTACTCTTTTAAATCAGGCATTTGCACGAATGTAGGCATACAGGTATGCCTGTACATTTATATAAATATATCTCTTCAGCTTCATTTCTCAAGGTCAGTGTGTTAGGCCTGCAAGGTATTGTCTTTTCACAAACTGCTAAGGCCAAAGATACCTTCAAATAGATTAGAATTTGCCTGACCCAACTTATTGTATATCGAATGTGGCATCTGGGAAAAACTGGCAAGAAGCTGATGGTAATGAGTCTTTGATTTTCACACATGCTTTCTTTGCTATAAATCAGCAGCACTAACACACTTACAGCATTTCTTAAGTCATTCGTTGTGTTGATCAGCTTTACATAGACAGCTTTGAAAATATAATTCTTAGAGTGGAAGTTACATTCCCAGTAAATTTGATTCTGGAAGGCTTCTAAATCTGGAATCTCCAGAGGGTCCTGGTATTAGTTTTCTGTCCAGAGCACACAAAACTTAAGCCCCAGTTGATCACTTAACTCACTTAAATCATTGCAAGTATCTGTATAAATATATATATTATTTATCTCCGAGCTGAAGCTCAAAATAATTGTTTTAATATATGATAGGTTTGCCCATGGTGAGGTAACCTGACCAAATAACTCTACATACAACAAATGAAGCAAACAAAGAGTACTTAGAAATACTTTGTTATCCCAAAGGGAAGCTCAAAAGGAGATGGAGACACTGTGTGTTGAATATCATCTTGCTGTCAAAATTATTTTAACAAGATGTATTTCACTTTTCAAAGATTATTTCACCAGACATACTAACAAGAAAAATGCTTCAGAACTTTTCTGGGTGAGCACTCTGAACCTTGCAGAGTTCAGTAGCCCACTCCGGTTTAATCTTCCACTGGCACAACCACTGTCCCAGGGAATGGCAAAGAGGCATTGTCAACAAAACCCACCAGGGGATAGAGGGCTGTAGCATCCCCATAGGTTTTGATTTCTTGGCCTCACTAGGCCAAGAAATCAAATTCAGACTCCAAGAAATCAATTCAGACTACAAGGAACATGCCCACGCTTGGTACTCAGGAAGTGCCACTAAAGGTTTCCTTGTCTTGTCTGACAAACAAATGCCAGAGCACAAGACTTTCAGGGACTTTTGAGGCTGCCTCATTTGAACTTGTTCTATATAGCAGAAAAATCTGACTATTAATCCTCCGAGAAGCTTATTTGTAAGGAGGCATTTAAAATCCCAGTGGGAATAGAAATGTGTGTCGGGGCGTGTGTAGCTGCTGTGTGATAACGAGCTGTACTCGCAGCACTTGACACAGCTTCAGGGATATCTGCACCACTCATCTGCATCTGTCATCCCTAGAGTACCCCTGGAAACCCATTTCCACACACACAACAAGCAATGGTTTCATAGTCTAGGTAGTGGGCTCTCATAGTCACAGCGTAACACAGTCTCAGATGTCACCTTGTACAAAGAAATCTTGCTCTAAACCTGATTCTGGGTAAGATGAGCAGAGAAAATTTGCCAGAATTTTATGCTGGATGGACAACAAAGGCTGCTTCTTAGGAATGTCAAAGTAAATAAATGCTTTTCTGCACAAATCTTTTCATTTCACAAAGCTCTTAGAACCCCCCCTCTGCAAGAATAGTTAACACACTAGTGGTGAGATATGGCTGGAGCAAAACTATATTTCTTTTTTCCTTTTCTTAAGTTGTATGTTAATTTTTCAGTAGTTAACATCTTCTGGAAAAGACTTCATGGGTACAAAGAATTGTAATTTCTTCCCCAGAAAGCTAACAATACCAAAAAAGAAAAGGGTATATTTTTGGTGAACAAGTAATGAGGAACATTAGAGACAGATCATAAAACAAACAAGAGAAAGTGATGATAGATGTGGCCTTTAAAATGTGTGTCTTCTTTAGTTGTGTTTGTTTTATTATGTAATTTCTTAGCTGTTGCTGATTTTGGCACAATTGTAGCTAGTCTGTAAATTTTTGTCTATTTAGCTCGTGACCCTTTGAATATTGGTTTGTGTTTTTCTCAAGCATTGATTTCAGCTAAGAATGCATTCAAGCTTCCTCCTACCATTTTCTTTCTCTCTTTATTTTTCCTGGTGCAATGGAATTATTTATGCACCACTGGATAATTTCAGATAGTGTTTGGGATTTTAAAAATGGTTCCTAGTCTAAATTACTTCAGTGTGGTAGTGAAAAAATATATTTTTTAATAGGATTGCCTTTAATGTGTACTGAGTTCTCATCACTTGCAGAGACATCCTGCAAGTAAAATCCAGCATTTCTGAGAACTGAAGTTCTTGGTTCCCGACCAAGCTGTCTAGCTTGGAAAATGTTTCATAATATTTGGCACCTAAAGCTATTTCCTGTGAGGCGGGGATATATCTAATCAGACTCTAATATAGCTACACAAAAATTGTTATGATGTAGATAGAAAGAAAAGGAACACTAAATAACATGAATTCAGAGATGAAGCTGAAATATACTTATTATACTTTCATTCCTTTTTGACCATAAATTAAGTAACTCAACAGTGACATAGGATCCACACATTTAGTGTCTTCAAGAACTGTTTACCTGGGCTTTTGCTTTGCTGTTTTTTATATTGCTTGCTTCAGAAACAGATTCACTTGCTCATTATTTTTCTTGCTTACTGATTACAGTCATGGATTTCAATACCTTAGCAATTAGTAAAAAACTCATCTGAATAAAAATTAAACCTGTTACCTGTAGTTCAGTTTGAAGTTGTGCCTTTCAGTTAGCTTTTTGATTCATTCAATACTAAATTCTTGTTTTCTGTATATATTTTTCCCTAAATGTAGTCTGGGTTTGGTTTATGATAAGCACTACTACATGACATTTTTATATTAATCTTGTCATATGTGAAATATGAATTTTGCAGATGATGACACCAAGACCTGAAATGTCTCACAAGGAAAAATAGAAAAATTCTCCTTGCCAGGTTTTTCCTTGAGTGAATATAGTGTTTAAAAAGATGCTGGGCTGATAATGCAGAATGGAGTTTATTTTTCTGGGAGACTTGCCTAGCACTACCACCACCACCCCCAGCAGCTTCTTCCTCATTTCTATGCTGATGCTCTTGACTCTGAGGTGAAGTACCCTCATCTAATGAGGCAGCTCATTAGTCACTCTGGACATGGCTTTCTAAAGTTATTGCTAGAAAAGGTATTGATGTGTTCCCACATGGATGCTTGACCATAGTGAAATTTACTCAGATCAAAAGTGCATTTTGCAAAGTAAATAAAAATCCACTGGGTTGTGGTAAGTTGCATTAGAATTAGTGATGTAGGGAAAGGGGATTTTGCATATCAGAAGCCTTTTTATGATTTGTCAGGCAAATTAACTTTCTATAGAGCTAAACCTGACAAACTTTGTAAAGCTGTGAATTATTACGCCTTGTAAAATGACAGTGGAAAGCTCTCAGTCTGTGAAGTGTCTCTGGAACAATGCAGATATTCAAAGTTTCCATGTTTAGCCAGGGCTTAAAAAAAGATGAAGTGCCAGCTCATTTTAGGTATGTACTTGACTCCATCCCTGTTCACCTAAGCATGTCTCATCCCATAACAATCAAAGACAATGTTCACATACTTAGGTACAAATGGAAGTACCTTGGTAGGCCTTAGTGGTGTGTGTGGCCCCTGAGTGGAATACACCACATAACAACCTGCCATTTGAAACTGTAAACCTGAAAGAGAAAACTTAAATTTTCTTCGTAAATTTAACAGCTTGAAGGTCACATCCTGGATTAAAAAACATTGCCTGTTCAGTGGTCTGGGTGATTTGGGTTTTTTATCATTGGTGAGGCACTGGAGTGTTAAATGAAAAACCCACTGCTGGAGGCGAGAGGGAGAAACTCTTGGCTGGAGGGGAGGAGGAGATGCAAACTCTTTAATTGACAATGTCAATTAGGTCATAGGTTGGACTTCATTATCTCAAAGGTCTTTTCCAACATAGTTGATTCTGTGATGCTGTAATTGTACCAGAAATGGCTCCCGAGGAAGGACTGGTCCAAGAGCTATACTCTGCAGCACACTGAATTTGTCTAAAAAGGTTACAATTCAAAAACTGACTCACTTTTTTTATCACCATTCCTATTGATTGTTTATAAAATCTAGACACCCTGTGGCCATTTATAATGATAGTCTGAGACTGTGTTTTTTACAATTCTACCCACCTATTTTTGAAACTTCATAAATACTGTATTATTCTTCACAGAAAATCAGGTGGGTAACTTCTGAAACTGCCATAAAAGTTTTCCACCCATTTTCGTCCTCTCACATCCATATGCTCTTATGGATCCATATGCTCCATAAGAGCATCTGTGACTTCAGAGGCTCTCATTGCTAAAATGAAAAGAGAGATATATACATATGCCTGTGTATCTGTATCTAAATATAGATGTGTAGTGTGTGTGTGTTTCTGTTTGACCATACAATGTAAATATACTTTGTGTCTTTGTGTGTCAATTATTGTTATTGCTGGAGAGATGTAGATTGGTCAGGAAACCTACTTGCTGTCAGGAGCTGAGTGACAGCTTTCTCACAGACAGAGCTTTGTTTCTCTGAGGCCAGAGTCACCATCTCTGTGTAATTGTTTTGCATTTCTGCCATGGCACAGGGAACCTTCTGAGTGAATATCTCGAGGGAGCAGGACATATCGAACACTGAGAAGCTCCCAAGGACAGAATGCCCACAAGGATCCATGGCTGCATCTTTCCTGTGTTGAGGGCAGAGAAGCAATCCTGCCTGGGGAGCACCAGCATGGGAAGTAAACACCCTGCCAGGAAGTGTATGAGCTTTAATGCTGTGCTGTTTTACAGTTCACTGCCCCTAGACTGAACACTGTCATTAGTTTTGATCTAACGAATGAACAGAGGACAGAATGTACCTAGATTACTTAAGGCTTTTAGATTTGTGCTTTTTTGTTTTATTATTTAAAGTTGGTTTTGCTTTCACACAGTTAATTTTAATTAATAGTTATTAGTGTAAACTGAAAAGAATAATTTTGAGATGATTGTATGGATACTTGGTTTTAGTTTACTTCCAGCAGTAAAAAAATCATTAAGTTGTAGGTACATGATCTTCCACTGAAAAGGAGTGGATGAGGTTATGTTTCTATCCTTTCTACCCACCCTCATGTTTATCTCTTATCACTGATAGGAATAATAGTGTTTATTAATTGAATTTATTCTATTTTGGTTACATTGAAAATATTTTATGGGATTATGACACCTAGTGTAAACACTGATGGTATTTTATTGGATATTCATTGATTATAAAATATAACAGCCAGAGCTTGGGATATGATTTACATACTTGTTAAGTTACAGAAAGGATGTAGTCTACACTGGCACTTTGGTACTGAACTCCTATGTAAGTACCAAATCTGATTCAAGCTGATGGGTCAATGACACACACAGGGCAGCTACATGAACTCAGCATGTCCAGTCCTTTCTACCAAGCCCTGGATTGTAAAGGGATTCCACATGTGTGGCTTAGGATATTCACTGCAGCGTAATGTTGCATCTGCTCTTAAAGAATACAGAGATTTGCTCATAAAATTTGGCTTGTTAGCGTACAACAACTAACTATCCTTCCTTTGCTATAAAGAGGTTGATGACGGCATGAACCCCCAGCTTTCATATTACAGCCTAGGCGTTGAAGCTTTTTCCAAGAAATCAGACTTACATTCTCCTGAGCACGAGATTATCAATATAAGTAGCCTGTCTTCCCAAGACAGCAAACTAGTAAGGCTAAAATAATCAGGCATTCCCTGCTTGCCATTGCTGGGAAATTTCTGGACCTTAATGACAAACAAGCTTGAAGGATGCTCTAGTTTAACCCCAGTAGGAAGCTAAGTCCCCCACAGCCACTCAGTGGAGAAGAGATTCTGAAGGGCAAAAGTGAGAAATTAGAAGGTTGAGATAAAAGCAGTTTAATTGGTAAAGCAAAGCTGCACACATAAGCAAAGCAAAATAAGAAATTAATTCACTACTTTCAAATGGCAGCCAGGAGAACTGGCAGAAAAGTAGGACTCCCTCATGCATAACAGTGATTTGGGAAGACAAACACCATAACATCAGATACCCCCATTCCTCCTCCTTCCTGACAGCTTTTATTTCTGAGCAAAAGGTTATGCAGCATAGGACATCCCTTTGGCCATTTGGGGTCAGCTGTTGCCTCTGTGTCCTCTCTTTCTTATGCACTGCCAGCCTGCTCACAGTCAGGACAGTCTTAGAAGCAGAAAATGCCTTGGTGCTATGCAAACACTGCTCAGCAACAACTAAAACACCAGTGTGTTATCAACACTGCTTTGGTCATAGATAAAAAATACAGCACCACACCAGAGAATGTAAAGGAAATTAACTCTATCCCCACTGAAATCAAGACAAAGGAACAGGAGTCCCCAGCCTAGAGACGAGAACAGAGACTTCAGAAGGGTCAAAATTTATCTCCTTTTTCCTTGGATTGCTCGTGCATGGACAAGTTGCTGGATGAAGGGTATGAGAATTTCACAAAGAGGGATCAGCACTCAGCCACTCAATCTTCTTTCTTTCTCCTGGCATCATAACTTCTGTGTTGTCTTCTTCATAATGACCCAGATTCAGAGGTGTCTACCCTGTAGTCAATAAAATGAATGTATGCCTTAAAATTCAGACTTGTCCTTTTATTTAATAAGGTGAAATTCTGATGTGCCTCAGGATCCTGGGATAATAACTGAGCTGCCCCGAGTTATGCTCTACAATTGCAGTGAACAATTAATACAAATCTATTGCAAAGTACCTGGTTAAATCAATATTATTCCCTTCTTAATTTGCAGTCTTCATGCTTATAGTTTGCAACTTGTTTAGCTGAGTCACATTTAACTTTTCTGCTTTTGGATAGTTGTGAAACTTGAAAAGAATATTCACATGCAATACAAATTTCCTTCTATGTGTTAGCATTAAAGATGGACATACTGTTTTTCCAAAGCAGCACTAGTAATATCAAGTAAAATGAGTAACCTTGCTTAGAACAGAAATTTTCACTTCTGAAGACACTCTCCCTTATGAGAATTTGTCAGAATGTGTCCATCAAACCTCCTGGTGCTAAATTGAATTTCTGATGCAGGAATGTTTTCTACCCAAAATGACAACATTTCATGGGAAAATTCTTTCATTCCCTTTGGCTCTCATCCAGAATACTTTAGTTTCTAAAATTATTTGTGATGAACAGTGACAGTCAAACAGTGGGTGTTTTCTCAGAAGTCTTCTACAGGCTGATAGAGTCTTGCTGGGGAGAGACAGCTTCTGGGGCTGAGTGAAAGGAATTTCTGAAGGGCTGGAGAGAGAAATTTCTAAAGAAAAAGAGGGGAGAGTACAGAGTTTGCTGCAAGTCAGAAGCCAATGGATTGGCTGAAAGCAAACCAGAGAGTAAAGACCTCTGAATCAGAAAGCTGCTTATAAAGTTCTTTGGGTTTGGCTCCCTCTAGGCAGACCCATCAGAACATTCTGGTTGACAGAGGTCCCATCGCACAGTATTTTGTCTATCCTAAATGTGATTTTTAAAAAACTCCTGAGAGTGGGAAAGTTCTTTGCATCAGACACTGGTGTTGATGGCTCTGTCTAACAACTTCTGCTTGTTAATAAGCAAAAGTGTATTGTTCTTCCCTTTTACCTGGCAATTCATGGTCCCATAGCCACAGCAGCTGTGCAGTACTTTGAGGTAAACCAGACCAGTGCAACCACCTCATGCTGCACACGTGTCACTGACTGCCCCATATCACTGTGGGCAGGCTGGTGCGAAAGTCAGAACTGTAAACAGTTGTTCTGTTGTCCTACAGATACTGTGGATTTTGTAATCTATGAATAACATGATTGTGTATTTTCTCTTCTTTTAAAAATGCTGATTTCTTAACAGTCCATAATTCATTTTGACTCCAGACATAAAGCACATTTTGTTTCTGTTATCTCTAAGTTTGCAGTGAATATACTATGCAAATGTACAAGCAATGTGAGACTCAGACACTCAAAATGCTTCTAGGTCTTTTTTTTTTAGACTGTCAAGCACCAGGAATTTAATCTAGATTTTACTCCATGAAATGCAAAGGTGCTTCCTGTTCATCTTAAACAGTTTCTTTTTCACTTGTTCTGTCTCCATACCACATTTAAAAGAGGAGATCTTAGAAGACATGAAGAGTTTGAGAATCCTGGCCATCTGAATAGCTGGGGGTGATGGTGACAGCCCAGACACACTGGAAGGAATGCAGTAAGTTCCATTATCTGCTGCAAAGATAAAAGGTCTATACTTTACAGCCAGACTAAAGGCACTACTATTACTACTATTACGTCCCAGGATAATTTTTTTCACATGTTTATTTTGCATGCAGTCACACAACAAACTGTATTTTTCTAATGTAATTAGGTTTTTTTCGGCTTCATTATGTTTGTTCTCCATGTTCTCAATGAGAAATTGGGTATTAGGCACACGTTTTTTCTCATATATTGGCTGCAATCAGCAGTGCTCTCCTTAAGTGCTGTATAGTTTATTTACTTTGTTGCTGTTGAAGATGTGTGAAGTGCAAGTTGCTTTTGAGGGGTGTTGCTGTTAATTCAAGTGGATGAGCACAACATAATATTCATGGCAGTACAGCTGCGTCTTGTTTTCATTGGGCTTAAAAACTTGTGGAAGAAATGTTAAAAATATATTGCTCACTAGGTTGCAGGAAAAGTTTTACATTGGAGTGGGCATTAGGGAAACTCCCACGTAATTTCTGGAAATTGTCAGTACTTAAAATTTCTTCCACCTATCTCCACCTAGTCTGTTCTTTGGGGTGTGTATTTGCTTTTCCTTTCTATAAGAAAACACCAAACACGTATTAACCAACCTGCAGAAGCAAAATTGTCTCTTTAGTCGTGGTGGGTCTGATAAATCCACATTCTCTTAAGTGTAGTATTTCCTTCCTTCTTTCTGGATTGAAAGAGGCCTCACTGCATCATTGTATTTATTTTACAGATTATAAGAGCTTTAATGAAATCCTCTCTTTTGCAGTCAGGCTACAGAGCATTTTGTACCCTGCTTCCCTTCTCCCCTCTCCAGGGATTTTCTGTGGCAGCAGGGGCATGGTCCATTTTTGCACAGTGAGGTTCTTGGCATCCCAAGGGAACGGCAGCCTCACCTTCCTGAGACCCAATGCTCCCCAGACTGCCTTTTCCTTGCCCCACAAGGGTGCTGAGAACATCACAGGTGTTTGAAGGTGTAGGCTCACCTGTCTGTGGGTGTTCCACTCCTGATCAAAACATCCAGGCAGGCACGAGCAGCCGCGCCGCCGCCGGGTGTCACACGTTCCGACCAGGACACTGCTCTGTAGCTTTCCTTTGAGCATCCAGAGATTTAAATGTTTACTTCCCTACAGTGACAGTATCATAACTCTGCGTTTTAACATCTGCAGCTTCCAAATTTTTTATCATCAAGGAGTAAGTTGGATAAATTAATCCCTGTTGAGCTAGACGCTGACACATTGGTGCCGTTCCTCCCGGTGAATGCTCTTTTCACTCCATTTTCTTCTAATGCAGGCAGCTTTGGTGCAAGAGAGGAACGGGATTGTTTTCTTGCAAAAGAGTATCTTTTCAGACCTTTATCTTTAGACAGAGTTAAAATTCTTGACTGCCTGCTAGTATATTTATTTTCTTAAATTCAGCTGAAGATTTTACCCTTAGTGTTTTGTTTTTTTTTCAAGGCTTAGATTGCATCTACCTAGCAAAGGCATGCTTTTATGGATTATATGTGAGATTTAGCATTTTAATTCACTCATTTTTTAGACACATAAGTTCAGTAGCAACTTCTTTTCCTGTGAGGAAGGTCATCCTCACCTAGTTTTTCATGTACCTGGCTAAAGACCAGACCCGCTGGTCACTTCCTCTTTATAGTTATCTTGAGGAATGTCAGATGGTTAATTTTTGCTTCCTG